TCTTGCAGTTCGACGGTGTAATGTTTATCGGTCTCGTCGGACATCAAGACAAAGGTCGTGTTGGAGCGAAACAGTTTGAGCCCCACGTCCACGCCGTTCACCAGATGACGGTCGAAACCGAACACGTCTTCCATGAGGGGTCCCGTTAGGGTGAGCGACTTGCTTCCGGCGATGAAGCTTCCTCGATTAATGAGACCGTCATTGCTACCGGCATAGGGATCAGCGGAGTTAAAATCATCCACAGTGACACCCGAATCTTTGTAATACAGCTGACTGGTCAGCTGACTGGTCTTGGTATCGGCGCCGTAGTCGAGGACGGTTTCCATGAGAGCTTTGTAAGGGTAACTGGCATTGCTGGAGCTCACTTGTTGTCCCTGTAGGAACACGCTCACCTGATTCCACAAGCTGTGCAAAGTGAGGTTGACGGGCACTACTTTTTCTTTATCGGCTAAGGGCGTTTTGTCGGTGTGAGTGACTTTGAGTTTGACGTGAAGTCGGGTCTTGCTCAAGTCGATGTAGTCTTTCCCTCCATTGGGTATGTGAAATTCCACCGGACTGGAATCGGTGATGACGGACAGGGGCCTTACGTTCTCGTAGTAATGTTGAAGGATGCTGGTTTGATAGGGTGGCAGTTCGAATAAATCTAAGCTATTTGGCAGGGCTTCGGTAAACTCTTTCTCCGTCAGTACCGACATGGTTACTGGTTGAAGATGTCTCTGGGGTCGATAGCGGGGGTATCTTTAAACTCGATGAAGGATCGTTTAGAGCTGTTACCCTCGCGACGTACTTTCTTCGAAGTGACAATCTTGTCTCCTGCTTTGCGTTTTATAGCCTTAGTTCGTTTCTGAGCCGCCACGGCTCTCTGGACCACGTTCTGATTGGGTGACGTCATTGTTACGTTCAATTTAGAGTCGCGGCTGGGTGATACTTTGGCTAGGGGTGCGATGGGAATGATTCGCGACATGGGTCGACATTTGATCAGCTGTTTTCCCTCATGCTTACTTCCGCGATCTACTAAAAAGTCCACAAACTTCTTAGTGTCGGGAATGTACAGTTTCCGTTCCATCGTGCTTAAGTCAGAAAGGGATACCGTCGCAACACGAGTGATACGTTCACGGTCTCTTTCAGAAATGAATGCGATGTTCCTTCTGCACTCTTTATATACACTTCGATTTCTGACGTGTCTCTCATAATAACGGGTAAGTACCATGGCTGGTGAAAATAATAATTGGGTCCGTCTCTCAGATCGAGTCGTCTCAATAAAGGTAGATAATTCTCACCCACGTGTGAACTGTCGCACAGATTACACAACACGTCAATGGTGGTATTATTGATATCTTTCAACTCGACTCGGCCTAGTTTCATTTCTAACAGAGCCACCATCCACATGCCCTCCAGTTTCAAATGTTGAGACAGTTTCACCCGGAAACGGTAAGGCGTGTTGTCCGGATAATACTCCCGGGAGTCTGCACTGTTAAACACGATGTATTTATCCATTTTACTTGTCCTTCACTTCCCTTGCTTCTACCCAGGAATCGAAACTCGACGGCCAGCCTGCCCACCTGACTAAATAGTACAATTTCCCTTTGTCTTTCTTTTTCTTTAACACTTTTTCGATATCCCATGCGGTATCTAAATCTTTATCAACACGCTGTAATTCTTCTTCGTAAAAGCATCCCTTTAAGAACTGGTCGTGAAAATCTTTCAGCGTGTATAAAGGAATACCCTGTCGTCGATAACGGGCTGCTACTTTAAATAACTCTTCCGTCCATCTCAAGTTGTGTTCCTTAGCGAAAGGTTTTCTCAAATAACTGATTCTAACGATATCCCCTATTTTATATTGAAAAGGACGGATCTTGTGTGTTATGTACGGTGATGGTTTCGTGTATAAATGATTCCATACTTTGACTTCATTTCGCACATTCACATCTGCAGGAGCCCACTCGCCTAAACTTCTGTGTACGGTGTGATTGTAATTATACACTAAATCGGGTAGCACGTCCACATAGCGCTCGGTGTTCTTGTGTGTCAGATACCTCGCTATGAGTGACCTCAACGTTCGAATGACTCTCTCGGCGTAATTCGCTTTAATAGAGTACTCTGAGACGTTGAAATTTGCGTTCCACCGACTTATGAAGCGTGTAAGCATCGTGCTTGTTCAATTCGGCTTTTACCTTGGACACGCTAACCGTTTTCCCACGTCTTTTTAAACTTTGTTGAAATTTGGAGGCACCGTAATACGCACCCGGGGACTTGGGATTAAAGTAATAGCTCTCTAACTCTTTCTGACGAGACGACGACGGTGTTACACGTGACTTACCAGACATGTTTCTGTCTCCTGAGGTAAACTCAACTGCGACCGCCCCATCTGGGCACACTCTCTTTATATACACAGCAATGATAAACAGACACATGCATTGTTCAATACTATTATTATTTATTACATACAAGGCAAACATGAGTGTACAGCTATTGAGATGCTACTTCGGATTATATACAACAGCATACCGTTCACCGGAATGCTCTTTCTAAATACAACATTTTCCATACACGGTCCTGTATGTCTTTTAACCAGTCACCCGTTTTGAAGTGAGTGTCCAGATGGTCCTTACACCGATACTGACAGATAGCGTGGGAAGACACGCTGCTTAAGCTTGGATCTTCGTGAATCAATCGAATCCATTGATCAATCACATGATCGTCATTCACTTCGTCTAAGGCTGTATTTATGTATTGGTGTATTTTGTGTTGGTCAGACAAGTCTTGACAAGTATGGTATTGACTGTCAGTTTGTTCAAACATGCAACCGAAACACAGTTGAACGGCGAGTCGTTTGATAATTTTACACAGTTCCACAGTATAGCATAGCGTCAGTAACGACAACGTGTAGTCAGTGACTTCAACCGATTCCACTTCGTCTACGACGATAGCTTTCATCTTCTTAGTGATGATTCGTTTTAACTTCTTATCCTCGTTGGGGACTTTCATCTCGGCATCTTGTATACAATGTTCCCGATGTTGAAACCATCTAGACGACTGTATAACGACGGTTTCGTGGATCCGATCGGGTTCGCGTTGCACGTACTTCCAGGTGAAGAAAGTCATTCTGTCACTCGACATTCTATATAGGATGGAAGTTTTCTTTCTCGGCTAGGTTTCAGGGAAGGATGCGACTCGTAAGGAAGCCTCATGCCTGAATGAAACAGTATGCGTGGTGTACTTTCTTTTTATATCTGTTATATTTAGAAAATGATATCATGATGCAGTCGACGTATAGTCTGCACAGTCACAGTTCATTATAACGTTCACATACTGCGTGGATTGTATGCCATACAGTCATCCAGTAGCGTCCTGACTTTGAGCAGCTGACGCCATTCTTCTGGCTTAAGAGCCATGCCTTTGCGCGTCGGTTTTACTTCCCGTTCGCCATCGGGTAGCCACCACTGCCGTATATCCATGACTTTGTTTGGCGAGTTCATGGTTAGGAAAACGTTACACCCTAACGGTAGACAGAGAGAGCAATCTACCTTGTTCAGGATTTGACTTAACGAGTCTGACACAGTCTTTTCAATAACCTTCAGCTGCGCCCATTGATCGAGAGATAAACAAATACCTGCCTTGGTGGGATACAGTATGCCTTCAGCACTCCATTCGTATTGACGAATGTCTATTTTCCACTCTCCACTCCAACGGGTAGCCTTGATGTAGCGACTACTGCCGATATGAAACATACTCTCTCTGTGTTCTTCTGATGAATCCACTGCTTGCTTTGTGGATCCCGTAGATGGACTTGTACTGCACGTTGCCATGACTCAAGGAAAGTGCTGTGATCTTCTAGGTAATAAGCGATAACACCGAGCAAAGTGAAAAGCATTCAGTGTGGTACGGAAGGCCTCTGCGCTGTAAATGATTCCCTTTGGGTTCAAATCTGTTTCATATACTGCGGGCCTAGTCACGTGATGCACACGTGACGTGGTATAACATTTTCCTCGTGAAACATTTTTTCCATGATAAACTCTGTTCTCTCTTCGAATTAAGGGTGAGTATTGTAAACATGAAAATGTCCTATAGATTGCTTCCATCACTTTCCCAACAAACCTAGCGTCGTGCCGTCACATTGCTACATGTAGTTATCGGTTTTCTATCTATTTTCAAAATAATATGTTACACGGTTAAAACTCAAACCGTAGGGTTTATTTGTCATCGTCTCTATTGCGGTATGGTCGTACTTTCAACACACACCCTGCATTCATCAAAACCAGCGGTTAATTTGAAACGACTACTGAGTTATACACTAATTGTAATTTCTACTTACGTCTGAAATAAACGAAACCATTACGACCAACAAACAATTTGAAACGACGTGGTCACGTGAGTTGTCAAGCGCGCTCAATTCAAACTGGGCTGCTTGTCTATTCAGGGCAGCACGCCATACGCATAGCTCAATCGAATACCCTTTACTTTTTGTTTACTTACGAATTCTTTTCTGTCTTATACACACACACCTTTCATTCCCCCACACCTGTGACGCGCTGTCCCTTGCGCTCGCTCCGATAGGCTGGGGGGCCCTTTCACGCTCCCTCCACCTTTCCCTCCACCAAAAACAGGGCCTGCCTGGTGACTCTATACTACTCAAGGTTAGATCTCTGTCAAAACAGTGCCATGGAAAAGCCAAACAAATAGCCTAGAAATAGAAGTAAATACTGCATTGCATTAATCTGCATTTCAATAAAATTTGGCAATAATTCATGGAATGATATTCACCTCGAACAAGTTATTTCCTATGTAATGTATGTGTTGAATAACCCTGACTTTGTTGTCAAAATATTGTTTTGACATTTGTTAAATATGGGGATAAATGTCATCTCTGAATGTTTGACATGAAATATTATGATTAGGGTAGTTCTAAGTCGGAATCACAACCGGGGTCTTTTCATTCAAATGTACAACATGTACAGTTTGGACATTTTTCTGTGATGTGAATCTACTTATGTTTGTAGAATGTCCGGATGAATAAAAGAGACAGTCATCTGTGCAGCATCAATGCAAAGAAAGACCACAGAAGAGCAACAGTGAGTGGTAAATATTTTGAAATTATTCTGTTTGGTTCATATGGTTATTTCGCAAATATGTCTTCAGTTTGTTCCTTATCGCTGTGGGCACGGATGTCCTATTATCTAAGGCACTACAATTTTCTGTGCAGAGTTGCATCTCTTGGGCTTAGCAGAAACCTATAGTTCATGGGTTCAAATCCTGGTTCTCCCCGATTATGTTGTTAGGTTTGTCAGCATTATACACATGCTCGTGGGATTCATCAAAGACCTGCATCACTTAGGGCTTTCTTCCCACATCAAGCTAACTTGCGTTGTTATATGTGGAATACTGTTCAAAGCAGTGTTAAAGCCAACTCATTTTTAACACTGCATCCAGCAATAGTTTGGCTTTATGACAAGGATTGTAAATATATATTTTTCCATGTTGATGAGTTCTAAACAATCACTAAATAACATCTCTTAAAAAGATTCCAAGCCTAATTAATAGATGAGGTAGTGATTTAGTAGGCTCATTGATCGCATGTAATCATACCACAGTGATGTGGGATATTGTCCATAATAGTTATCATCGGTTTGTCTGGACCGAGTTCATAACATTAGTCACTGGTTTGTCTGGTTGAGATTTGAGATGTGATTAGCTTAAATGTTTAGCATATAACAAGACTCACATATGAAAACTTAAGTGATTTTGCTGCCTTCTATCTGTAAGTACATGTGGCAACAATTCTTTTTGATTGCTAAAATCTTTTTACATAATGCTGCAGAAACTGAAGTCCTGCTTGAGATCCCTGGATGAGTACTCCAGGTTGACAGTCTGGAAGGACGAGACAAGGGAGTCCTAAACAGAGGCTGCACCCCTTCAGATATCAGAGGTGATTTGCAGACAGCGATGACGAGGGTCCTGTTATTTCAATGGAGGCCGACCGAGAAGTTGTATGCCAAATGGTACTGGGACACACACAGGCTGGTCTGGCTAATGTGAGAAGACCAACCAATGCCAAGCTGGAGTGGAATTCTTCCAGGACATTCAGGGAATTGTTGTCTTGAGCCATGTGGTAAACACTTGAAAGGAATGATAAATGGGACTTATTGTCTTTAAATGTGGACCCAAACACCAAATGGAAAGTTCACAATTCTACTAACACAATGCAGCAGAGATAGAGTCTAACTGGTACCCCCTCATCCTGGTTCCTGTTCATCCATGGCAATATAGAAAGAAAAGATTGAGGGAAAGTAAGTTCTCTGAACTGGTGAACATAATCCGTAGGTACTGTCAAGCAAACAGTTATCACACTCTGTTATGAGTATTGAAGAATAGGATGAAATTGCATACTGCATCAGGAACCATCATGTGAACACTGTTCAATGTGCGATATACTATAGGCATATGAATAACAGAAATTGATAATTTGATTGTTGCTTATGTTTCATTTGCCAGCTGTGTAAATGGGAATGTTTGCCTCAGTTTAATAGCCACACTTATCTTATGAAACCATGCATTGCTTGGGCATCTCAAGAATAAATAACACATGTTTCCTTTGCTCTGAAAACGTCTGATGCCACATTGATCTGTTATGTCAAAGGTCAAAGTCACAACCAGACAAAAAGTTTGTTTGTGGTCTAACTCTTCCTTTGGACAGGGGTCGAAGTTGGAAAAAGGTCGCGTGTGATCTATATATACTACATTTTCCCCTAAATTGCCTTTTCTGCAGAAGTCTTAGTAACCCTCATACATATACTGGTTACATTACTTCCATATTTTGGTCAATGATATGTTGAATTCTACCAAAGGACTGCATATTTGGTTTATGTGCAGGATAGCTCTTTGAAATGTTTTTGAAATATGTATCACTGATATTGAAGGTCAAATTCACACTCAAAAGTGATAACTCTTGAAGGGTTGAAGTGTAAGATCAAGGCAATAGTGGAGGGGTCACTCATAAAGTATTTCTGCAATTATAACCAAAATGCCTATTTCTGGAGATATTTGTGAAGTATTAAGCACATAGTTGTTATATTATTTGAATACACATATATGTGCAGTTGTTACAACTCCAGTGTCAAATTAACTCTCAATCCCTTTTAATAAAAGAATTCACAGTAACTGAGGAAGAGCTTACTGTAGTACCATAAAACTAGGGTGAGGCAAATTTCAATGAAGTTAGTATTTTGGATATAACAAGTACATGTACCGTTACAAATAGTCTTATTATCATCTCACTAGGACCAAAGGCCCAAGTGAGCACATTGTCAATGACTTTTTCTTTTTCTCAGTACAAACTGGAAATCTGGACATGAAATTTAAGGATATCATTATACGAGAACTGATGTTTGTTCATTAAACACCATTAACATCTGAAAAGGACAATATATGAAATTGAACAATTGTCTTCTCCAAAAATGTTTTAGGAGGATATTTACCATTAAAGTAACCCAGAATATTACAACAGCTACATAAATGCACAGGCTAACATTTTTTACCAGAAGCAAGTCATGAAGAAAATTTGCATCCGGATACCTTCCGGAAACCTTCCGGAAACCTTCCGGAAACCTTCCAGATGCCTTCAGCAACCTTCAAATTGCTTGGTATTTTCAAGTTAATTTTTTTATGTGTTTCACACTTAAGTGAACAAAATGCACCCCCCAAATTTTGACATTTTTTTTGGAAGGTTTCCGGAAGGTTTCCGGAAGGTATCCTGACCGGATCCAAAATGAGTAGGTATCCGGAATGTTTCCGGAAGATGGAAACCTACACTTTTTTTGCTGTGTAACAAGGGCCAGTTAGAACTATATTGTGTATACACAGAGACGAGTTAAACAGGGATGAGTTACAACTACATTGTGTATACATAGAGACGGGTCATAACAGGGACCAGTTAGAACTACATTGGTGAAACATAGAGACGGGTTAAGAGAGGGATTGGTTATAACAGGGGCCAGTAAGAACTACATTGTGTAGAACTACTTGATGAATACACAGATACGGGTTATAACAGTGGTCAGCTAAAACTACGACGTTACCACTTAAGCTAGAATGTGTATACACAAAGACACGTTGTAACATTGGTCATCTAGAACTACGATGTGTATACACAGACACGGGTTAGAACAGGGGCCACTTAGAACAGAGAAAGATAGTTTTTATATGTAAAGCAGCAAACATGCCCGAACCATTTAAAAACTAAAAACAGTTGGTGTTTGTTACACGTGACTGGTTTTTCTATTTTCTTTACATTTGAGTTTTCACCCGGAGATGTGTGAACCACATTGGAAAAGAATGTTTGAGACTACTTGTGAAACTCATATGGAGTCCTGCCTTGGCTGTCGTAGGGTGCAGATGTGTTTGAGGATAGCTCTATAGCTTGGGTCTTGATTGGCCTGGTCTGTCTTTGTCGCTGACGCCCTGCACTTATGTGCAACATATAACCGCAGAAAACTACCTCAAGGTAAATCCAGTAATGTGAAAATATTATACGATCGTTACGTATATACACTGTGTGAACAAAATCTGCACATCTGAGCATTAATATAGTCTCTGACAGCGATGGCTCAAACTTCTGACGAGGATTTCGTCTCTACTGTCATGGCGATCATGTCATGTCCAAGCGATCTGTGTTGACATTGATCATGGTGATAATTGCCGTAAACGACACTATAAAGATCAAAGTGATAACAAGGTGGACAATATGAATAAGAAATGTAAAGATGAGAACGAAGTGAACAGGGATGATTTACTTTTATGTGACGATACACGGATTAGTGACGTACTGAAGGCTATGAATCTTTTGACCACAGCACTCAAAACACGTATGGACAGCTTTGAAGATGGTATGCTCAAGAAGATAGAACATACTTTTGACAGAAAACTGAAAGAGGTACAGGAAGATATGAAGACGAAAGTGAAACTCGTACATGATAGAATATATTGCATTGAACAGACGGCACGTGATAGCAATGACACCGTAAGACAAAAAACTGGGTGAAATAAGAAAGAAGATTGATGACAGAGAAGAAGAATCTATAAAATTAAACATCGCTTTTGAAAATGTATGCGAGACAGAAGGGGAAAATATAAGGAACAAAGTGAATGCTATTTTACAGGAGGGATTGAAGTTGAGAAATATAATGATTGACAGAGCTGTGAGAAAACCTTCTACAAACAACCGCTACCCTGGAGTAGTCGTGGCTACCTGTAAGTCTATGGCAGATAAGATTGACATTCTAAAATCAAAAATCAAACTCAAAGATCTGAGAAATTTTAAAGACATATTCATTGCTTCTGACAAGTCAACAAAGGCTATATGAAGCCAATTTGAGGTCGATCGCCACGGCTGTGGGTGAAGATAGGCTCGCTGTGAGGGGTGCGCGTCTCGAGGTAAGAAGATCACGTGATGACAATATACACCATGGAGACAGATACACAGCACAAAGGTGTGAGGTGGGTGAGCGTCAACACTCACAACCCAGACCGATACGACACATCACATGTAGATGGTGACTGGCAGACCCAGGGAAAGTATGCCAAACATGACAGACATCGGTATGGCAGTGAGGAAAGAACCACAATCAGGAGAGGAACAGATACAGCGTCCCAGTCTACATGGGGTAGACGCGGGGGTAAGAAGATAGGCCCTATGCGGGTTTTGGAATGTAGCTGGATGGCCCTGAGTTGTACAGGTAATGGGGGTTCTGGCTCACTTCAACTGGAACCAGATTTATATACCTATACTACTACTAAGTGATGATGCGATTCAACGATTGTCAGGAGACAAATTAAAAGAAACATCAATATTGATTAATAATGAATAAAATTTACTATAGTCCACGAGGATATTGGAAAGGTATAGGACCAATAAAAAAATTAGCCACCGCGGCTAAGGCATCTAAAGATGTGGCCAAGGATTGGTTAAAGAAACATGTGATTTGGCAAATATATTTACCGGCACCGCATTATATACCGAGGAAGAAGTTTGATATTTTTACAACAAATGAAGTTCATCAGGCTGACCTTTTGTTTCTTCCCTATGATAAGGTAAGACGCAAAACGTATAAATACGCTTTAACCGTAGTGGATGTGGCTAGTCGATTCAAAGAAGCTGAGCCATTAACCTCGAAAGATTCAACAGAAGTAGCTAATGCACTGAGCTGCATATATAAACGCCGACCATTAAAATGGCCTAAGCTATTTCAAGTAGATCCTGGTCGCGAGTTTATGGGATCAATAACTAAACTGTTACCAAAGCACGATGTTGAAATCAGGCGTGGTGAATTAGATGCCCACCGTAGTCAAGCTATCGTTGAAAGATTTAACAGGACATTAGCGGAACCTTTGTTTGGCTATCAGTATGGGATCAAAATGAAATTTGAGCGATTGAGATCAACCGAGTGGGTGACACGATTATCATCTGTTATATCAGCGCTGAATAATGAAGTAACGAGATTAATCGGAAAGAAACCATCCTTTGCGATTAAAATGAAATCTGTGACCTCTGAATCTTCAGCACCGAGGAGAGGCAAAGGACGAAAAATTCCGGATAGAGTAACTATAAGATATTTGTACCAGCCCGGTGAACTCGAAGGAGGCCTACATCGTGCAACCAATCCGATTTGGTCCCTCAAGACATATAACATTAGTCGATTGATTACGAAAGAAGGAGAGCCTATTTTTTATTATCTTAATGATGGACCGCACACGGCATTTGTACGAGAAGAATTGCTCATAGTTCCAAACTATACAGTATTACCGCCATAAATAACCATAAGCATAGGTAGTTACACCATCATTATCAATCCATCTCTTTGTATCTAAGGGGGATAATGATGTCTTGTTCATTCTTAATCCATATATCCTATGATTGTAACTTCTTAAAGAGTTCATCTCTCCTTTGAATGTTCTACCGTTGAATAATGCTTCATAATACTGTTCGTGTTTGATTTGCTTTTTTACTACATACTTCTTAACACCCTTAGCTTTTCTTATCTCTCCATTATCGGACTTCTTTATAGAATACATCTTAGGTCTTAATCTGACA